CTAAAAGGTTTTGGTTCAAAAATCTGACCGCAAGACAGCGGATTTGGCGGTGGGATACAAAGAGTCCGTTTTAGGGAAGAAGGAGCCACTCTTAGCCTAACTCTCAACCTGGAGGACCAGGGGGATGAGCTTGTCCGAACTCAAACCATTGACCAATCTGGTATGATAGCCTCTAAAAAGGCCAGAAGTACCACTCAGCACAGTTCAATGGATCGAGGAGGCACACAGAACATCGCACTACAGTAAAGTCCAGTCTCTGCGAGTGTTCTGCACCATGCACCAATAATTATCGCAACACCAACCTGCTAAGCTGCGCCGGCAAGAATTGTACACGCCTAATACTCAACCGTCATGACACAGATTCAGATAACGAGCAAGGTGACTTCCGCTCGGAACGAAGCAATATCGACCTAGTGTTCGCAGCGTGTCAACTGTAGGAAAAATGTCGTGAACGCAACAAGCCACTGTATTCGCTCGTCGATATGGTGAAGCGTGAGGAGTTGTGGCTGATTCTCTTTACCTCCATCTCGATCATACTGACTCCAGGAAACTGTGAATCGTTAGTGGGGGGACGAGGTGCACCGTCGTCGTGACGGTCGCACGCTCGAAGAGTGGTTTCATTAAGTGTGAAGCGGACTACGGCTCAGACACCGTCTTGTGTACGTCTGGTACGCATGATTTCCTACATGTATAGACAAGAATGTCGCTGCAGCGCATGTTAAAGTAGTGTAGACCGGATTCATTGATGAAATGTGGCTCCAATCCACAAGCCTCCCGGTCTTATCCCTTCGAATTTACACTGAATATAGGGTGTGTGGATGGAGCTGTGGGAGGTGAAGCGCAAGCTACCCAATGTCCTCCTGTAGGCGTCCTGTGGCTGTCATACGGAGGCTACGGTGACGACAATTGCGGAACAGGATGCGGGCCCTACACCATTAGTCGGTGCACCGACTAACGGGGAATTGTGTCCCGGTTCTTAACCAAAAGAATGGTGCAACACAACTCTCATCCAGCGGTCGACACGAGGAAAGAAAAGCATCAGCAGTACGCCGGTAGGCAGTACCGAGGATTCGCTATCGCGCAATGACCACCGATCGCACTTGGGCTAAGGATACTACGAGGGTCGCCCTGTAACTACGCAGGCTCGAACCCACGCCGCTAGATTGCAAGAGAAGAGCGTTACCTTTAGGTTACGGGTTGGCCCAGAGGAGGCGCATAGGACATGAGTCCACGGCACAATATTGGGAACAGCGAGTTAACGATCTGGCAGGGTGTAGCCACCAAAAGCCTCCGTGCACCATGGATTCTTCAGTTTATATATATATATATATATATATATATATATATATATATATATATATATATATATTTGGCAGCACCCGGTTTCGGATTTGCCTGTCACTGTGGGCTCCACAGGGACAGCCACAGGACGTCTGCGCCTACAGACGGACCATTGGTGGCTCGCGCTGCACCACCCACAGCTCCAAGCACATGCCCCATATCCAGTGTAAACCCGAAGGAATAAGACCAGGAGGCATGTGGATAGGAGTCAGGTTTTATCAACGGAGCCGGCCCACACTCCTTCACAGACAAACACAAGCACGCTGTACTTGGGAATCAAGCGCACACAAGACGGTGGCTGGGCCGTAGTCCGCTCCACACTGGGTGCATGGAATGACTCAGTCCTCTCCAGCAACGACCAACTGTCTCCTGGAGCCAGTATGGACTAGGTAACGGGTAGTAGACAGGTAAGATCCTTGTCAACATGCACATCAAGCGCAGCCACACCAGGAATATCAAACGCCAGCCAATCACTTGAAATAACAATATCAAAAAAGTGTATCTGTTAAAGCATAAGACTATGCGGACATAACTCTTCGCTAAACTAGCATATGAAGTAAGTTGGTTATCAGGGAATAGGCGATAAGTACAAACTGTCCACAAGTTACTCGAAATATGCTACAAACGCAATAAAGTGAAAGGAGATAAGCGCAATTAGCGTAAGCAAGGTGTGCAAATTAATAGAAGATTATTCAGGTAGGCAGAACAAACAACTTAAAGTGAAACGAAATTTATCCAACGTAAAAAGACCTAGTTTAAGTGTAAGTTGGTTTAGGCCAACTGCGGTGAAGAAGCATCATGAATGCAACATCAGCCTCAGCATGGGGCACCGTATATATGTATATTTCAAATGTTCGCTACAAACTGATCACCGCTGGAAGTCTTAGAGGCAGGAGCCAATAACGTTCGATCCAGAGAAACATACTGATAACAGGTATAGAGATGCATCCATGTACTGGAGTTGGTGGTTAGGTATTGCATACACTAAACAGGTAATGGCAATAAAACTTTCACAATTTGATAACGGATACCAGTAAGAAATGGTCAACCACGAGAAGATCAACGCTTAAGGTGCCGTGAAGCAACGAGGCACCTGCTATTGCAGCTTGACTGAAACCACAGATAACAGCTGACTTTTAAGCACTCTAAGCACCATTTGAGGTGAGACTGTGATCTGTAACTGGACAAAGCGTATATCTACATCCCGGTAGTCGTGATTCTCCTCCCAATTAGTTCACTCGGCCTGACAAAACTTTTGCGCTAAAGGCGAAAAGTTGAACACAAACTATACCAGTCGTTTTCAAACAGCTATAAAGTCATGAGTTCTCGATCATTCTCAAGCATTTTCAACATAGATAACTGTATTGTTCAAAGCTTTAGTTCGCCATGACTACAATACAGCCGGTTGACGTGCAACTCAGTGCACTGTGGCTTGGAAACTGAATAACACATTGCGACCGGCTGGCCACCAAAGTTCCTATCATTCAAAGGCAAAAAACTCATGGAATCGACAATGAACCAAAAGTAGTTAGTTAAAACATCACATTTATACTCGTCCAAGTCCGGCTGTTTATTGGGCGAGCGCCTACACATTCCGGCTGGAACCGAACGCAAAAGGAATCGTCAGGGTGAAATGTATGCTAGCCTAAAAGGTCTGCTGGTCTCATCGTGCATAGAAATGGAGACAACCACTGCACTTAATAAGCTTCGGAAACCATTCCGTTTCACAAGTGAAACAGAAAACAGGAGACCTGGTATGAGAGAATGTATGCGACAAGAGTGAACAGGCAACTCACAGCGTATTAAAACGAATGTGACAATAAACCGAACATATGAAAGGGTTAGATCACAGTTGCCAGCTCCCTTATCGGCATATGACCGCCCATCTTCCTGGAAAGCACCCTTGGATCCGCCCCTACGCGCAGACGTCAAAGGTGATATCAGATGGTTGAAATTAAACAGGGCATCAGAAGCAGATCAACTTTCTCCAACTCTATTCAAAGTAGTGGGAACTCCATTTTTAGGTGATGTGCACAACGTATTGGTGAAGCAGTGGGAGCAGGAGACTGTCCCAGGGGACCGCATACGCTCCGTTAAAGTCCTAATTTCCAAGGGTTTAAGCTCGGATTGCGGCAATCACAGAGGAACCTGTCTGATCTCGATTCTTTACACGTTGTTTGTCTATGTCATGCTTCATAGACTGATTGAAATTTCTGAGTCAGATTCAAGAGGAACAAGCCGGATTTCGCCGAAATCAAGGCTGGATTGGTCACATCTTCACATTACTCCAAAGGTTGGAACACCGTCACATTTATTGGCGACCCACAGTAGTCGTGTTCATTGACATCGAAAATGCCATCGAGTAGATGAAATAATGTGCGCTTTAGTACTGTCTACTCAGGAAAAGTGTGCTCCAGAAATAAGTAAATTTTATCAGAGTGATGTACACGAATGGTTCGAGCAGAATGAGAGCGGCTAATGGTAAACTGTCGCCACCCTTTGATATATCCGGCGATGTGAGACAAGGTTAGCCGCCCTAACCTTCCCGATTTCACTTCGCCACCGACGAAATCATGGAAATGGCTCTCACTGGAAATGACTTAGAAAGTGTGGAGCTACATCCAGGTGGGCAATTTCTTGACTGAGAGTACGTTGATAACATTGCCCTAATCTGTGACTGTTGCCAAATGCGCCAAGCTGCATTGGATAAATAAGCACTGGCTGTCAGTCATTTCGGGCTATTCCTTGCAACCTCGACATGTAAAATCCACCTCCAAGATTGCCAGGCACCCATCTCTGCACTAGAAGTAGTTCAGAAATTCAAGGAAATTAGCAGCTATATTAGCGCGGATAGAACATAGGGTAGGATCGCAAATCATACAGCAAAAGCCGGAGTGTTTGCCAATCTTCGTCACCTGTGGCGTCGGCCTGACATCACTCTCACCCTGAAAGGTAGAGTTTACAGTACAGCCGTGTGTTCAACACCCCTGTACGGTTGCAAAACCTGGTCGATCAGATCGATAGACCTAAAGAGTTTAGTTACCTTTGACCACCGGTAGTTTGGCTAATGTCTTGTGAGAACACCGCGTGAACAATGAGCTAGTTCGGCGTCGCGTATTTGGTGCAAGAAAAGCGATTGAAACGCTCAGCACCAGGCTCCGATGGCAGGGCCAGGTGTTGCTCCTGCCATCCTAACCGACTACCGGGACGTGCGATGTTTGTGCGCCCGGAGTGTGGATGGAAGTCGAGGAAAGGAGACTGAACGAGGACTTGACCAAGAGAAATGAAGGCACTTAGTTGGAAGTTGGCATCGCCAGACTGCCACAAAATGGAGCCCGATTAACACGCTTAGTTGAATACACAAGTTGACATGGCCAAGAGCCAACCTCAGCGTCGTTTGTGTGGGTTTATTTGTTCCACCTGCTCCGCCTCCAACAACGATCTCACACCGCATGGATGACATTATACTTCGCATTAAATTAACTGCTTTTAAGTTTCGTATTATGTAATGTGTAGTATCTCGCTTTCTCGCATATTTCGCATTGCGGCATAATTAGCTGAGGTGTGTTGATGACCTTCAGCTAATGTGTAATGAGGATGATGATGAGGTGTTAGTGGAAATAATTACAGACTGACGGTGCGTGCAATGTAGAACTCACTCAAGTGAACGGCTTCTATGTGTACCCGAAGGCGGAACTTCAAGGAAAACGATTTTCCACAGTATTCACACGTGTGATCTCGTTGGTCTGACACAGAAAAAAGCACGCTAACAGTTATGTACATCATGGGGAAGAAAGGAGTTCACAGCGCACAATAACTGGGGGTGTCGAGAACAGCCAAGTCTGCTTTTGCTATCGATTGGTTATAAACAAGGCGTAAAAGTGCCTAATGCTCCTCGACTATCTCACATTTACCGCTGTTCGTATGAAATTTAAAACCCATCTGTAGCCCAGTAAGGGGGCAACATTAAAACTAGCAAAGGTCTCCGGTTTGATATGCCACTGTCTACTTCTTTAACTAAATGCGCGACAAACTACTGGACTACTCATAGAGATGGATGGCTATCTCTCGGTCCGCTGAGTACATCAATATGCAGTACGCAGGCGCAAAAACGCCGATTAAAATGTCAGCCCAAATATTAATCAGGTAGTGGTGTCTAACAGATGGAAAGCAATCAGGTATGTTAATTCAGCTGATCTCAAGTCTTGATTGAGGGGAAGAACATGGTGCGATAGAAATGATGTGCGAGTTGTTTCAAGCGAAATGTTAGTCGAGGTTGTCCAGCGCCCCCACAACAAATATTGTTACGCACATCCACTGAGAATCAGCCTTAGGATCAGACCTGGTGTAATAATCGCAGCCTCCAGTAAGCAGATGAACGGTCGCTGGTCAGATCAAGCCATAGTTCCAATCAAGGCACGTTGTGTTGGACGTACCACAATAATGGACTCCACCAGCCACTTCATGGAAACGTTGATTGAAGTAACATTAGCGATAGATAAGTCAAGCATTTATTGAATCTGTCCTTATTCAGAGGAAAATACTATGATATTATAAAATCCACACATTGAAACTCAGTACCTAAGGAAGCTCACCGCTTGTCACCATCAAACTCATTCACGCCTCCAAGATCTACTCGGATTTCTGACGTCTCGGCGTGAATTAAGTTTAGGCGACACCCCCAGTTGGCTGTTACCCCGAGGGGTATTCCATTTGTATTTCACCTCGCTAGGTAACAATCGTTATTTATTGTCATCCTGACAAGGCGGGTCGTGGCAATTGGATTCATCACACTTAAGTGTAAATACCTTCGAGAAACAAAATCTGAGTAACTCAATGAACCCAGTGGTGTATTGAAGTTAGGCCCAACAGTGACAGAAGCCAGCACTATGGGAGAAATGGGTAAACAGGAAAATATCGGTTCAACAATAAGGACAAACCAGTATCCTAACACAAAGAGAATACCAAAAGACCGAAGATGCAAGATGCGTTGATAAAATGTAAAAGCAGTGCTCGATGAAGGCCTCGAGCAAAAACACATCATGCAACCTCAAGGAAGACGCTCTCGTATGGATGGAGATGTGGGTGGCCGATCGAATGCACATGACAGACACTAAATGTTTTAACATAAAGCGCCTGTTTTGGGAGACGATGTTTAGGACAGTCATAAGTGTTATGGAACTGAAGATAAGGTAGAACAGTCATTCACGCTAGACGATGCCTATAGATTTAATCGTTCGTTGTTCGCGCAGGAGCATTCATTTGCCTAGGGACCGCAGTTTATACGCTTTTCATCTGAATATATATGATATTTCGTAATTCTGGAACAAGCGCAATCATGTTGTACAACTTCGGCAGTGTCATAAAAACGTAATATGATAACGCCCGAAATATGTGCTCCATCGAGTTTGGTCAGAAGGCCGCGAGTAAGTTTAAATGAATTATGAAAAATCATGTTGGAAGCAAGTGTAAACATAGTGCCGGTTGGCAAACTGGTATCCGTCGTTGCGCTATCGACAAGACGCAAGTCATACATAGGTTCCACAGAAATAATACCATTACGAGAACGTTGGTTACATATGGATGTGGAAGATGGAGTTACGCACCACGATGACTGTTGTCCATTCAGGAATCACCGCTCAGTGAAATCCCAGTATCGTGGTGGAGGCGTCATCAGTTACGTTGGTGCAATTCAGCAGTCGTTCTATTCACGTACTCAACGGCACCTATAAGTTGCAACTCAAGCGAATACAAACCAAAGTGTTTAAAGTGAATTTCAATCCGCCATCGCAGGAAACGTCTACATAGCTCCGGATACATCTGGGTCAAAGTTGAGGCTTCTTGAAGGACCAGTTTCTACAATGCTACAGCAGAAACAAGACTGTTCAATTCGCAACTTCGTTCCAGAATTTAATAAAACGGATATGACATACCTGAGGACAAGTGATTTAGTGGATTCAATGAATTTTTCAAACAAACAAGACACGCAGCTGAAAACTGTGTGCGAAAAACTGGTTGCTTTTCACCCAAGGCTGGCACCTTTGAGATGCCCCAGTCCTCGACATTGGATGCAGTGGCGTAGCTAGTTAAGTATACTGCGCCTGCGCTAGGTCAAATATTCAAACTCGTCGGGTTTCTTTTCCTTGGTTATACAAACACCTTCAGAAGTCTGAAGAGATCAGCGTAGTTTAGTCTGATATCCGGAAACGGATTCCACCCGAACATGTCTAAGCAGCTGCATGACTTTAGTACCAGTTCACCGAAGAAATCGTCTATTATTTGTGTAAACTGTGGAATTGTTCTGCAGCTTGCGAATATATCATCTTTTCTATTCTCCTTATATGCCGAAGTTTTCTATATACAACCCACGTTAATAAGATGACGTCCGGCGGTGCGACCGCCGTTCTCTGACCATCAATTTCGCGCAAAGCCGCAGGCTACCAATTCAGTATGTAGGACAGTTCGACGTAAAACGGCTTGTCCCTACAAAATTGTCGATCTGATACCTGTCGGTGGTACGCCTCCCTAGATTTCCATTTCCGGACCTCGAGGCGTAGCCCCTGAGTAAAAAACAACCATGTTACCGGCCTTCGGCCGACTATCAGTAGCCTGAACTCTTGCCTGTGGAAAGGTGTCTAATTTGGTTCGGAGTGGAACGGATGATTTTTTCTGCAATCCGTTTTATACAGTCTGGACTGCTATGTCTGTTAGTCCATTTGAGGCCGGGTGGTAAGGGACGCTTTGCACCTGCCTGAAGCAGTATTTTAAAGGAATCCCATTCTTTTACATTCAGCAACAATATGTCATCTCTCCGTATGCAGCGCAGGGCCTTAATGTTGTCTGCATACGATTATATATATTACATCCATGTAAAAGCTAACGGGATTTCGAATGCCTTGAGCCGGTTGTTGTTAAATTATCTGCCCAATTAGGTGTTGGAACCGCCTGAAGTAATCCACTTAGTGCAGCATTTGATCAGGAAGCTGGTGTCGAACACGGATATCCGCTATGAGATATGGAGCAATGGATTATGACAAGTATAATAACGAATGCTTGACAGGTTTCGTAGGGTTGTTAAAGTAAAAAATTTTAAAAACTACAAAAAACGGTCAATAAAAGATGGTGCAAAATAAATGACTCTACAAGGGGTTTGGAAGCACATATGTGCGACTATTCCTGCCTGGAGTTTAGGGTGGTTATGGCACCGTCCACTGTTTGTTGTGCACTAATGCCATCATCTGATAATCTTAGGCTATATCACGTAGTGGGGGCATTCATTACGTGCACCGGAAGAGCGTTCCAGGGCTGTGACACTCGGGGGTAGAAAATGTTTCATCGACATTCCAGTCGACTGTACTACCTGGCCAACTTAAACTGATGCCCCTTAGAGATGTGTTTTGGCTGAGTTTCACAAGGGAGTGGAAAGTGCGGTTTGGGTTTCTCAGGCTCTGAAACGTCATTGTGAGAACACCTCGTAGATGCCGATAACGGCCGCTGTACACTTTGAGAGTTCAGTATGAGTAAGTAGGTAAGCCGGGAGAAAGCCCAGACGTTGTTTGTCGCCCTGGTTGTGCAGTATCCAGTGCGGTGAGGTGCTTCTACCAAGGCAGCCACGCTTGGATAGCGTATTCCGTGTGCGGCTTCACGTATGCACCAAGCATTTTAGGAAAGATTGAGGCGTCAAATTTCCCGAACACTCTACGGATAAAGCCGAAGTGTTGGCTTGCTTTCTTTGGTGTCTATTAAGTCTGTCCCAAACACCCAAGGTTCTCTTGGGCAAGCAAGCCAGGATCACATTCATGAGGTCCGATGTAGAATTTGTGGTCTTAAGCGGTAGTTATAAGTACTCTGATGGCGTATGCTCAGAATTTTGTACTTGGTGGCATTGAACTGCGGCATGTTCTCGATGGACCATGTGTACGCAATGTTCAGGTCATCCTGTAGGGCTGTGCGATCCACCACTGAAGCGATAACGAGCCATATGCTTAGATCACCGGCAAATAGTAGACACTTTGAAGACAGCACACTCGCCAGATCAATAATGAAGACAAGGAGCACGTGAGGCCCGGGTACCGAGACCCGAGGTACGCCGCACTGGACTTCGATTGGTTATGATAGGGTACTACGAACCCACACATTCAGGTGACGTTGAAAGATAAAGTCACCAACCCATCCAAGAACGGGATCGGCGATAGCATAATACTGGAGTTTGTGCAACAGAACGCGATGGTCCAGGCAGTGGAATGCATTTGAGAAATCCAGGTAGGCTGCCTCTATTCTTACACCAGCGACAACAGATTCCGTCCAACGCGCACGAGTGATCAACAGGTTAGTCGTGCAGAAACGATTTTAGCAAAATCCGTGCCGCCCCGGAACGAAAATTTCGTTACTTTCCAGGTACCCTAGAGAGCCTCAGCTACAGTAGACTCTATGATCATGGAGATCCCCGGGCGATAATTCGCTGGTTCTGCACGGCTACAACTTTTGTAGATTAGAGGGATGATCACGTGCTTTCACATGATAGGGACGTGCATCTCTTTAAAACATCGCTAACGGTTCACTTAAACTCATGGCAGCAACTTTCAACGCCTTTGGGCAAATGCTGTACGCACCCGGGAAGCTGTATTCGCGAAGGGACATCAGCCGTTTCAGTACAGCTGCGGTGGTAAAAAGATATGTGGTCAATGCTTGATGGCGGTATTATCTACGTAGGCATGGTGTAAGATGATTGCACATTTTGGAAGGT